GGACAGTTCAGATGGGCAGCAAAATCCAAGGTCACATATTACAATCATTATATTGGATTTATATATGTTGTGCCAGTAACAAAGTCTTGTGCTCAGTGATGTGCACATTTCTACATTGCTGCCCATAAAGAGAATTGTGAAGTTTCCAGCAACACAATGATGTTGCAAAGAGAGGGGATAACAAAACAGGTGACTGGCACAGATGGCCTGCAGCAAAGGTGACTGGTGTTCACCATCCTTCAAGTACCCTGGAAAAATTTACTTTTGATATAAAATGTCTCCAAAAACCAGCAGTATGGCTTATTGCTATATATCTGCAGTGTGAGACCACCTAAGGCACTGCCACCTCTGACTGTTGGTCTCATGAGACTTGAAGCAAAGTTTAGTGATGTCAATACTGTATTATTCTCCTTGCTGTACATATGAATCTGCAGTGCAAGGATACCAATGTTCCTGCTACATTCTTTGGACCTCACCAGTTGTCATAGTCCCAGTCATCAGGTTGGCAGCAAAGTCTTGCCTCTACCAAAAGGACTTATGTGCATATCCAACTGGTCCTTTCAGGCTATGAACAAACTTATTTTAGTTTCAGTCTCTGCTTACTTTTGTTCAGCTTACACAATCAACATGTAAAACAATAGACTAGTTAAAGTATTACTGAAAAAGGTCATTTCTGGCACTTGACCCAATAATTAAAGTAAACTTGGCCCAAACCCATGTTTATTTAAAGTTTTATAAAGGAAACAGACCGTAAACCGGTAATCTGTAAAAGGAATCAGGAGAAAAAAATTGTATCAAATAAAAAAACACTGGAAAAAGCAGATAGATATTGCAAAATATTAAATATGCTGAAATTTACTGAATACAGAAAACATCAAGCGCCTGTAACAGATTGCCGTTCATAATTTACTAGCTGGCATACAGAGATGCTTACACATCATATTAAGAGAACACAATTGCTAAAACAAGCCACTGTGAAATTTAAGGTTTTTAAAAAACACCAATTTCAATCTTCAGCCAGCCATGATTTTGAAAAAAAAAAAAAAAAAAAAGTGTCAAAAATGTCAAATGTGGCTTTTCTGTAACCATAGCAACATAGGAGGCATCCTGCCTATTTGATTGGCTTAATGTTTTATCGAGAGAAAAACCACTGGAAAGGCAAAGACTTTCACAATTTGTTTAAATAATCTATGGATTTCAGATTTTTACGGCTGTTGAAAGATTGTGAAAATGAGTAGAGAAAATGCCCGGAGACACTACATAAATAGATCAAAATCATAAACATTGATTTTGGCTTTTTGTAAATAAGCTCCCAAGAGACATAGGAAGCCAATGCATGAATCAAAACATCAGCACTAAAGCTGAAAAAAAATATCGGTTTCTAGGCGTTGCCGGTTCAGGAAAACCACCTTTCTAAACCAGATACGGGGATTGTGTTGCCGAAGATTTCTCTGTGGCCTCTCCAGAATGGCTGGCCATTTATAGGTGCAGTGCTCATGAACATCCATTGTAGAAAGCACCATAATGACTGACCGAAGTAAAAGCTACCGGCAGCATCTAAATATCTCCCCAGAGCTCTTCTGAGTGCCAGGGTATACTCACTCCTATCAGAGGCAACAACATTTTGGTGGATACTTGTGTCCACTCACAAACTATCATGAACAAGAACATTATGGAGAAAAAAAAAAAAAAAAAAAAAAAAAAAAAAAAAAAAACACACAAAACAAAACTGTGCACTGTAAGTAAATAAATAGGTTTTAATGTAGTAGTAAATTCTGCTTTTTGATTTATACCTACAGATTTACACCAATAAGGTTTACCCTGTAAGTACAGTAAATATCTTCTATATGTGTACCGTTTAGGAGATATTTACAGTGCTGTCCATCCAGAGCTCTATGTTGTGACATCATTGCAGCACGGCCACTCAAACAGCCAGAGCCCCCAAACCTGGAAGGACGATCGGGTGAAGATGGAAGCCCTGAGAGCCTGAGAGCCTGAGAGCAGTGAAGGGCTTTGTTTCAAGGAAAGTCTGCATGCTAGCATACTATATTATCCTGTAGGTGCCAATTTTTTTTTCTACTGCTTAAAAAGGCATCTTATAATAATGAGATCTATATATATATATATATATAAAAAAAAAAAAAAAAAAAAAAAAACACACAAAAACACCTTTTCCATTGCAATTGTGTGTACTAGGTGTTGGCAGCTCTGGATTAGGCAAGTATGTGACAATCTAGGTTCATTTTAAGAAGAATCTTTATTTTTTTTTTGGCTAGTTATCAGTTAGTGTGCCTTCCCCTCATGGGCAGACCCTAGTTGGTGTTGGGAGGGACCCATCATGAGCTCCATGAGATAAATGGTTATGGCAAATGGAATGTGCTCTCTCTTGCATCAGACCCCATTTTGGATTACAGCCTTAAATCCTGTTGTGGGTGGCACTTTGGATTATAGCCCCATGGATTCATATCTTTCTAGCATTTGGGATGGATTACAGCACCATGGATTCATATCTTTCCAGCATTTGGAATGGATTACAGCACCATGGATTCATATCTTTCCAGCATTTGGAATGGATTACAGCACCATGGATTCAATATCTTCATTCCAGCATTTGGAATGGATTACAGCACCATGGATTCATTTTATATCTTTCCAGCATTTGGGATGGAGGTACAATACATTAATCTGTGGTGTCTTCAGATCACATCTTATATATGGATAATTCAAAAATCCCAAACCTTCAGCCTCCCCCCTCTTCCTTTCCCCTCCCCAGTTTCCCTCTTTCCCTTTCTTCTGTCCCTTACCCTTCTCCTTTTCCATTCCGTTTGTTTTCTTTGTCCTTTTGGCACTCTGCATTACTACAGCTATGTTTGATCTTCTCGCCCGCAATTGGGGGGGGGGGGGGGAGGCGTTTGGGGCCCCCCACAAAAGGTTTCTTTGTTTCTATTTTAAAATTTTGCAAACAGGTAATTTTTCTCCTTTACTGATGTGCGTTGATGAGGCAGCACTGATAGGCAGCACTGATAGGTGGCACTGATGATGGGTACTGATAGTCAGCACTGATAGGCGCAACTGCTGGGCACTGACTGGCAGCACTGCTGGGCACTACTGATGGGCAGAGGTGGGTGGCACCGCTGGGCACTGGTGGGCAGCACTGCTGGGCACAGTTGGGTGGGCACCGATCATCAATACCCTGATGATCGGTGCCGATCCCCGCTCTGACAACTGCCGGTTCTCGGCAGCACTTTCCCCACGTTCTGACAGCGTGAGGAAAGTGCAGCCGAGAACAGGCAATTGCATTTCCCTGTGATCAGCGTGTCATTGGACACGGCTGATCACGTGGTAAAAAGTCGCTGTGATTGGCTTTTTACCACATCACGTGGTCAGCTGTGTCCGTAGGACACAGCGATGATGGAGATCGCCGGACGCGTGTAAGAGCGCGTTCTGGGAGGACATCATATGACGCCCTCCCAGAACTGGCCGGCCGCAGTGTAGCCGTCATTCAGCTATCTGCGGTCGGCAACTGGTTAACCAATGTCATCAGCGGCCTATCTGGAGAACTCTTTGCGGCCTAATATGAACTGTAATTGGCTAAACTGTCAGTTATTTTATTATTTCTTCTTTATGGCTAACACTTTGAAGACGTATAATAAACTGTCTGGATTTTAACAATACTTACTTGTTGTTCCTTGGATACTAAGATAGTCCATATTTTTTGTGCTCCCCTGTCTTGCTACGGAAAGGAAGTTGGTATACGACGACCCAAAATACATAAATTTCAGTTATCTTTGTGTGGAAATCCTCCCTCAATGCTCACCACAAGCTATCCTTCGAGAAGGAGCTTTAAAAAGCAGTCATTGATGGGCTAGCTCAAGAAATGGTTTGCTGCTTAATGTTTTGTCCTGTACTAAAAATTTCAGTCTGAGCTGTTCTCATTTCAGCAGCACTATCTGTTACCACCAATAAAGCCTTATCTTCGCTGTCCACCTTCGCTCACCCCCCCCCCCCTTTGTCCTTGTCTTCCTTTCACCCAGCCTTGAGCTGTAATAAACCTCTACAATTACAGTACAGTACATCCAGTTAAAATGAGAGAACATACTAGAACGGTTTTTCAGTAGAGTACAGCCAGGCCTGTTCTTTAAAGGGCATGCACTAAATTAGTAATATACATTCATGGACGGTATAGAAACCATTCTGTAGGCACACTGCTTATTGCAAAGGACATTTCTCAGAAAAGCAGACTCCCCCATCATTCCCCACACATAGGAAACACTCAGACTAAAAAGGAATATTTTATTATGTATTAAAATGCTTTTTTTTTTTTGTTTACCATTCACCATACTTTGAGCTCAAGGACGAAAAATTGGCTGTAAAAGTGACTACGTATTCTCTTCTTTCCAGGAACTTTACGTTTTCATGAAAGGCTCTGCAGCATTCATAGTGCAGTATAGGGAGCTTCTAGCAGTAGGTTTCCTACATTCCAGCAAAGCATTAAAGGCTCAGAACTTTTTAACCCACTGCATGTGCAAGATTTTCACAGCAGAACAAAGAAAAATGAAATAAAAAAGGGTGAAAAAAAAAAAAAATGCGGATGCGAAACATAAGCAAGAGAAAAAAAAATAAAACACAGTAGCACTTCAAGTGTTCGCATCTGTATTTCCAACCCCAGTTATACAAAAGTCTCACCAGTAGTTTAATATTAACCACTTGCCCTCTGGAGGATTTACCTAACTTCCTGACAGGCCATTTTTGGCGATAGGGTGCTGCGTTTACTTTAACTGACAATTGCACGGTCATGCAACCCTGCACCCAACTGAAATTTAAGTCCTTTTTTTTCTACAAATGGAGCTTTCTTTCGGTGGTATTTGATCACCTGTGCGTTTTTATTTTTTGTACTATAAACCAAAAAGACCAACAATTTTGAAAAACAATTTTGACTTTTTGCTATAAAACATATCCAATAAAAATTGTTAAAAAAAAAAAAAAAAAAAAAAATCAAATTGCATCATGTCTACATGTCTTTGCAAAAAAAAAAAAATCCTAATATGTGTACATTAATTGGTTTATGTGAAAGTTATAGCGTCTACAAATGGATATATATAGATATATACACACACACACACACACACACACACATATATACATACATATATATAGACATACATACACACTAGTAATGGAGACAATCAGCGACTTATAGCGGGACAGTGGCAGGCATTCTGACACTGGGGGTGCACTGACTGTCATTAAGATCCCCAGTGACACTAATACAGTGATCAGTGCTAATAAAAAGCACTGACACTGTACTGGCACTGGGCAGGAAGGGGTTAACATCTGGGGCAATCAAAAGGTTAACTGTGTGCTGTATTTTACTGTGTAAGCACACTGCTTTGTATTGTTCTGCTATGCAGAGCAATACAAAGCAGCGTGCTGGAGCTGACAGGAGAGAGATCTGTATTGCTTACATAAAATACCTCTTCCCTGTCAGTGTTCCACAGCAATCGCCAGGTGCCGGCGGGGAATCTCCTGCCGGGACCCGGTGATTGACAGCTGTAGCCGCCCCCTACTCGGAAATAGAAAATCACGTATATATGTGATTTTCACAGCCCTGTAGCAGTAGTTCTGCTATAGGATGGTCCAGAAAGCGGTTAAAGCAGACTTCTATCGCATTGTACACAACAAACTCCAGGAAAAAAATGCAAGAAGGAAAAGAGTAGAGATATGCATAATGTAAACATTTGCTTAATTTTGGTTTCCTTCAATTATTTCTTTTCGTCCTATTTGTTATGTTAGAATGATTCACTGTAGGAACGGTTTGTTATTTGGGGAGAGAATATATATTCATTGTTCGGAATAATTTGTATTTTCCAGTTATTCTTTTGTTATTTCAGAAGATTGGCTATATTAGTTTTAATGTTAATTATTTTGGGAGGTTACCTCTTCACTCTGCATAATCCAACCCAAAATAAAAAGTTGAATGAGCTAACTGGACGATATAAACTCGCATAGATCCGAAAGTAATGAATGGAACAAAATTATTCATTCTGTATATTATGATTCGGAGATACTAATGGATCCAATAAGTAGGAATCATCATCTTTTTTGTTTTTTCAGAAACACACTCATTTCACTTTTAAACCTTACTTTATGTCTTACAATAGGTTTCCATTTCATATGTAGTGCATTTGTTATAATAATGAAAAAATGTAAATACACAAAGAATTGGTTGATTACAATTTTCATATTTCCGAATTAACTGAATCTCAGAATCACAACAGTAACAAATTTCAACGCATCCAAAATAAAATATAGCAAAACAATGAATATTAATTTTTGTTTAATTTGTGTGACAGAATGTAGTAGTTTGGGCCTTGTTGAAACATCCCAAATAACGTAGCATAACTAATGATCCAAATTCTGATCCAATTGTTTTTATTCAAGTGATCATAGAATAAAAACAATTGGATCAGAATTTGGATCATTCGTTATGCTACGTTATTGGGGATGCTTCAACAAGGCCCAAACTACTACATTCTGTCACACAAATTAAACAAAACAAATTAATATTCATTGTTTTGCTATAATTTATTTTGGATGCGTTGAAATTTGTTATTATTGTGATTCTGAGATTCAGGTAATTCGGAAATATGAAAATTGTCCAAATTTTGATTCGTAATGAAACAAAATACATATCTAGAAAGAAGAAGTACTGTGGACATTAAACTTTATATGTTGCATCAGTACACACATTCTGATCATTCTTCATTCATAAAAAGAGCTTATCTGAATGTATACCCTATAGGTCCCCAGATCTCTGCAACTAGCTTTAAAAATGCAACGTAGTCACATTTAGTGGGATCGCTTATAGAGTGCTGGAACAGCCTTACCAAGGCCATAGTGCTGCTTCTCAGAGGAGAAAAAAAACCCATTACATTTATACAGCACAGTGATATACTTTACAAATGTGCTCTCCACTACAGCCTTAAAGTGTATTTCCATTTTTGCAGCCAAATTGGGATAATACCTACTCTTTGTTAAATGTCTCCATTCACATAGCAGAACTTAAAAGTGGTTGTAAAGGCAGAAGGGTCTCTACCTTCATACAAGCTATGTCAGACAGCTCTTAAATAACCAAGGGGTGGGGGCACCTGGTGACATCACCAAGTGAAGCTTACTTGTAAGTACAATGAATATCCCCCAAAACGCGCACTGTTTAACAGATATTCCAGTTGGCAATAGCTGCGGATGTCACCCGCAAATGCACAGTGACGCTTTTCATTCAGGGCATACAGTATGCCGTGCAATGCAGACTGCTGTGCCATGGCTCCCACGTGCATGCACAAGAGTGATGTCATTGCAACCCCCGGCCATTCAAATAGCTGGAGCTTGCAAGCCCAGAGGGAAGAACGGGTGAAGATGGAAATGCTGCTGGGGGAGCCATGACAGCAATGCACTGGAGGGCTCTATTTGCAGGTAATTGTGTAATAATGTGCTAGTACGTGGTGCATACTAGCATATTATGTTGAAAAGTGGCAGGGGACCCATTTGGAGGTTTACTACCACTTTAACAAAATGTGCATACAAATTTGAAAAGACAAAACTACAGAAATAAAGACTATATTAGATTGTACTATAGTGTAAAAAAAAAAAAAAAAAAAAAAAAAAAAGAAGAAGGAGGTGTGGCCTCAGTAAAGGTGGCCATAGATGGATCAACATTTGACCAGTTCATCGAGGACTGGCTGGATCTGTATCCATGTATGGTCCTCTCCATATTACAGAAGTCTATCTTTAGAATGTTGGAAAACTTCTCAATCAGCATCTGCAGCCGCTGATCAGTGTATTCACAATGTCTCAGTTGGGAGGATTCTTCTATTCGCTTTGTGTGAATGGAGAAATCCGTTTCTCCTCCCCCCACCCACTCACTAATAGAAACAAAAAAAATAAAAACACACACACCTATGGCCACCTTAATTTACGTCAATGCAATCAGGTTGGCACAAGTCTCTTTTAGGGAGGACATTTATATACCATTTACAATGAGAAGAGGCCACAGTCTGCCAGCTAATTATGGCTATACTGCATAAACACTTTTAGCAAACATCAAATGAATGGTCTACTCCCACTGCAAAGACAATATTTTACTACTAGTAGCATTGGATGAGGAATTAATATTTCCCAAATCTCGCAATTCACATCAAAATCAGAAAGCAGATATCAACCCAGCTTTCCCCAAGAGGAACAACTTCCATCCAAAACATTGTTTACAGCCAGACTTATCTGCTACATATTCACCTCCAGATGAAATACACCACAGAATACCTTTATAAATCAAGAACGGCATTCAAAAATAGTTGGAGATCAGCTCTAATGATTCACTGAAACACTCCAGGAGGAAACTATTGCAAAGTAGGCCAAAACCTGTTCATGTACCATTAGTGGTTACTAAATGCACATATAGTCTGTACATGTACTTATTATTATGTTCCAAGGAGGAACCGAAGACCATTAATACTTCTCTTCTACAGACAGAGAACGGACGGCCAAGTATAGAAAAAAAAAAAAAAAAAAAACCCACACGCAAACAGATTCCCCCATCCAAGCAAGGGAACAGTGCTGTGCTTTAACTGGAACCACACTCTCTCAATCAACATTGACCATTTTTAATCCTTAGGCTGCTAGCATTACAGGGATGTGCAATTCCTATCACCCAATGCCTGGGACATGTAGTTCCGGGCGCCGGGCAGGTAGATTTTTTTTCGCCTTAAGCCCTGCTGCCGCCCGATTGCTTCCACACAGCCCACAGTGCCAGCCTCCCCCCCCCCCCCCCCCCCCCACCTGCTATATATCCCGGACTCTGCTTGTCCATCTGCGGGCCCAGGACTGGTTCAGTGGGTGCCATGGGATGTGGTGGAGGGGAGGGAGGAGAGCGGACAAATCCGCTCCCCTCCCCTTCTTGTCCTGACCTGGAAGTGATGTGATGTCACTTCCGGGTCCCCGTTTGGCAGATTCCTGGTCATTGAGGCCAGGAAAGACTGTAATGCAGTGCGACATGCACTGCATTACATTCAGTGAAGCACAGGAGAGATGTCCCCAATAAAAAAAAAGAGAACCGGTCACCAAAAAAAAAAAAAAAAAAAAAAAAAAAAAAAGCTTTCCAGGCTCCTGTAGACAATAATAATGCATTTATTATTTTCCCCAAAAAGGTGAATTACCCTATAAGCCCCATATACACGATCAGAATATCGTACAAAAACCCTGCTTTTAAAACGATCGTACAATAATCTGATCATTAGAATACAATCAGAAAAAAAATGGGCACAAGCACAAAAATGTTTATCGTACAATTTTCGTTTAACCAGTAGTATTTGTCCGCAAATACAATACAAATACATTGATGGCAGAATAAAAATAATGAAGAATATAAAGAATTTTTGTAACCTCTTCACTTTTGATATGAGACTAGCATGCAGGAAAAGAAAAAAAAAAAAAAATGGACGATCATTCGTCGGATATTCTAAATGTGTATACAGGGCATAAAAGGGAAAGTTCATCATCTTCACCAAAGAACTGCCTATGCAGGTAAGGGGCTTCTGTGAATAAAAACAAACTGTGTGTCACTGACTAAAGTTGAACAATGTCCTTGACATAGGTGTAGGCCATTTACATACCTCATGAAGCCTGACAGGAATACTCCCAGGACGTTGCCAAGTGAGGCCTAGTCATTACTGCTCACCCCCACCACAACAGGAGTGAGCTTTTTCTCAGATTCAGACCCCCTCACATGCTCTCTCTCCCCTGATACAGTAGCTCTGAGCTCACACCTGTGATGGCGGAGGTGACAGGAATGACTAGGCCTCCCTTTTACAACGTCCTGGGAGTATTCCAGTCAGGCTTCATGAGGTACTTAAAAAGGTCTGCACCTTTAGCAAGTGTAATATTTAGTCAGAGCTGCAGTTTGTTTTATCCCCTTTGCGCTGTCACATGATCAGAAAAGGTCCTGATCGCAAGGGGAGATCGGGACCGCTCCGCGAGTTACGGACATATGTGCTGGGAGCACGCTCTCAGCACATATGTATTTTCAAATGGTATGCAAATATGCGGCCACTAGGCATCAAGGCCTAGAGGCTTCATATTTGCATGCGCTCAGCGTCTAGGGGTTAATTTACAGCGACCCCTCCCTTATCTGCACAGGCAGTTCTTTGGTCAAGGTGAACTATCCCTTTAAGTATATGGACTGCAGTCCTTCTAAACATCTTCGGTTTCTTGGACTGGAGTATCCATTGAAAAGGTATCATGTGCTAACCTAAAAGCAGTAACAAACGCTACTCATTCTTTATAACA